GCTAGAAGATCTTGGTACCACCATATTTCTCTGAAATCAGTTCTTCTAAAACTCAAAATTAATGACATGATCATGTTCTACATGCTATGCTTATCACCATGAACTATCAATCGAGCCTTGAAACCTAATATCCAGCTTGTTCTTGATCATAACAGATTCTTGCACCTGCCATCAATCCTCACCAAACCCTCTGAAACTCTAGGGAACTAAACCACTATCCTAGCATGTTCATTCTATACCTACAAGCCAGACAGAAAGCATATAATTTAGAAGATATATGGGGAAGAAAGAACCTGTTGAAGGGTGATGGTGAGTGGAGTTAGAAGTGGTTTCAGGGCTTGCAATTGGTGCCAAACACTCCTCTAATGGAGAGAAACTTTCTGTTTGCAAGAGCTTTGAAGAAGAAAGCTTGTGGTGGAAGAAATCCCAAGTTGCTTGATCTTGAAGGAAGCTCTTCAATGGCAATTCTTCTCTCTCTTTCTCCTCTGAATTCTTCAACTTTCACCAACCTTCAATACCTTGTGGATCACTCTTCTTATAGTGATGGATGGAAACAACTAGATCCTTCTAGAATCATCTAGAAAAGTCTTGATTTTCTCATGTGATGATAAGTTGAAAATCCCATATATCATGCCTTATGCCTTGTAATTTTGTGCCAAAATACCTTTACATGAGATATTGAGAAGATATGTGTGAAAAACAAGCTCACCTTTGGCTTATGTTAAGATTTCCAAAGGTGCCTTAATATGCAAGTTTCAATATTACAAAGCATGTCCCATTTTAAAGCCTCAAATGAAAATTGTGCTTAAACCAATGTTCTCAAAATGATGTTTCCAATCAAAATGATATATTGGATGACCTATTTTGGATTCCTAGATCTTCCAAACCAATTTCCAATTTCAACTTTTTAAACTTATAAGCCATTTTTAGTTCAAATTTGACCAATCATGAAAATCCATGCTATGAGCTTTTCCAACAATTCATGACTTCTTTTCTAGACTTAAAATCACATTTTGAACAACTTTCATGTTTTGAGTTTTTCCATTTGAGGCTTGGAAATAGGAGATATGGCCTTTGCTTAAAATGACCTATAACTGACAAATGACCAAAATACCCCTGTCTTGTTCAAACCATAAGTTGAGTTCTACAAATCCTATCAAGGACTTCTACCACTCAAATTAAATCTAAGAAGATTCCCTCCAACATTCATGTTGACCAAGAGATCATAGGAATCATCCTACTAGGGCAAAAGTTGCCTGCAAGTTGGGTGACTTTCAAGGACCCAGATTCACATACCTCTGCTGACCTGTAATTTGTCAAAACCATAACTTGAGCTCTGCAACTCCTATCAAGGACTTCCACCACTCAAATTAAAGCTAAGAACAAGCTCTACAACATTCATGTTGTGGGGAAGATGAGATATCACTCACATCTTGAGCTAAAATTGCCTGGAAGATAGGGATCAAATCAGGGTTTTTTCACTGACAATCCTCAGAAACCCTAACTCAAAACTTCTCAAACTCTTCAATCATGATGAGTTGGTCTAGGAATCATCTTTATAATATCTCTATGCATCATTCCATGATCTCATGGCCCTTGGATTGGGTCTCAACCTTCTCCAAATTTTCAGTTATCCTAGGGCTGACCCAGTCAAAACCCTAATTCTACCATTCATGGTTGAATCTTCTGAACTCTTGCACAATGACTTCTCTGGGCTTCATGATGGCTATCAAGACATCTCATACACTTTCTCAAAGCATCAAGTTCATTCTCAAAGTCTCAGAATCATCTGAGGAGCACCCACAACTCTCAAGCTATGAAGCACACAACCCTGGTTTCAACCAACTCCTCTGAGGATCTCTTGAACTTTCTGGTGAAGGTATCAACTTTAAAACACTCAATGAATAAATAATTGTTGGTCAAATTTTGGGGTGCAACAGAAATCACTCAAGTAATCACCGATGTGTATTACTTGCCATGCTTGAAGAATAATCTTCTAAGTGTTGGTCAACTAATTCAAAAGGAACTAGCAATAATGTTCAAATGGTGGTTGCAAAGTACATCATGCTAATAAAGGATTGATCATGAGCACAAATATCTCATCCAATAGAATGTTTTTTTATGTCTACACATTTTGTTCTTCCCATGTGCATGAAGATTTCTTCATATAATATCACACACTTGTTGCATTGTAGATATGGCCATCATAACTTTAAAGGCCTTCACATACTCATCAAGAAGGAGATGGTGAAGGGAATGCTTAGTTTGAATGACCTGGAAGAAACTTGTTCAGATTTCTTGATGGGAAAGAAACACAGAGAAACCATACCAAAGTAAGCCACATTGAGAGACAAAGAAAAGCTTGGGTTAATCCACTTAGATGTGTGTGGACATATTAAGCCTACATCAAATGATGGGAGAAGGTATTTCATTACATTCACAAATGACTTTAGTAGAAAGACATTGATTTGCTTTTTGCATGAAAAACCTGATGCTTTTGATGTTTTCAAACAATTCAAAGCCTTAGAAGAAAATAGTCACGCCTCTACATCAAATGTCTTAGGACAAATATAAGAGGAGAGTTTACATTAAATACATAGTGTGACTTCTGCAACCTCATGGAATAAAGAGGCAATTGAGAACTGTTGGAAAAAATTGGTTAGTAGCATATCCTTTAGGTTTTGATGATAAAAAAGTATTTCAAGAACGATTGGGTATACTAATATTTGTTTAAGTGTGCATGACCATAGACTAAGATTTCAGGAATAGTCTAAGTATTGGTTCTGATAGTGAACATCTAAAGACAAACTTAAAGATCAAAAACCGAATGATCAAAAGTTAACATTTGAAGACTAAACTCTGAAGAAGTCATCTTCTAAAGTCCCGACTTTGAAATAATCGACTTCTGAAGGTCAGAATCTGAAGCCAGTCAAAGCACAAAGACCAAAATGACTCAGATAGGTTATTGTCTGAATTTGAGTCCATTTTGTCTTATTCTAATCACGTGAAGACCTAAGCTATTTTTCATATACATAATAACTCCTTTTGAAGAAAAGGAATTTTCAATGACATTAACCATTTGAAGAAACATCTCAATGTCTCTATTTAAGCTTCTCTAAGACTCTCTTGTGAAAACTCTCCAACGACTCATTTCCTTCTCTATATAAGGAGCTAAAGACTTGAAGAAAAAATAAACAGCAAACTATTGACATTAAAAGAGTAGATACTCTGTCAAAACATAAACACGAGTTTAACTTAGGATTTCTTATCTTTGTATATTCTAGAAATCCCTAAGTGTTAAAGAGTTTTCTTGTATTGTATTTTGTCTATGTCTTTGATTGTATATCAAGTGTATTTCCCCAAACAATCTTGTGTCAGTTAGATATATTGTTAGAAGTCTCTTACTTAGTGCTTGAGCATTTGAAGTCTCTTGCTTGTGTGCTTGAGCATAGAAGTCTCTTACTTGTGTGCTTGAGAATTAGAAGTCTCTTTCTTTTGTGCTTGAGCATAGAAGTTTCTTACTTAGTGTTTAAGCATTAGAAGTATCTTGCTTGTGTGCTTGAGAAAATTGTAATATTGTGTGATTCTAGTGAAATTATCTTGTAAGTACAAAGGGACTAGACTACTCTCGATTTGTGAAAGGAACCATGATTACTTTGTGTGTCTCTCTTATTTCTTTCATTCCTTATTCGGTTTGCATCACTCACCTCAGATTCATATTCTATACTTTGTGTTTAGAATCTGACTAAAGCTTTAAAAATAAAGAAAAAGTCTAACACAATTCAACACCCTTCTAGTGTTTTCTCACCTTCAGTTGGTATCAGAGCACGATTTGTGCTAAAAAAAATTAACAGTGGTTTATAAGAGATCCTGAGAGAAAAACATATTAAATCATGTATGGAGTATCTGAGTTTGATAGTGGTACTCCTAACCCACGTGCTACTATTAATCACGATTATAGTACTTCTAAAAAGAATAACTATATTGCTAGACCTCCAACTTTCAGTGGAGACTCTATAGAGTTCGAATGGTGGAAGAGCATGATGTACACTTATATCATAAGTATTGATTTGTGCCAAAAAAATCTTAGGTATTGATGATGAGTTGTGGGATATTATTGAAGATAACATTGATATTCCAGTTAATGGAGTAGGAATGGTAACTAACATGAAAACTCTCACGCCTGCTAAGAAAAAGATCTATAGGAAACATCATAGAGTTAGAGGCATTTTGGTAGACGATCTACCTCACTCTGAGTACATCAAGATTTATTGAGAAATCTACTGCTAAAAATATTTTTGAATCCCTATGTGCTACATATGAAGGGAATCAACAAGTAAAGGAAACAAAGGCTAATCTCTTGGTTCAATAATATGAACTAGGAATCACTAGAAAGAACATCCAATCAGTTTACTCAAAAGGTCCCCCAAATTAGGTTCTTACTTGAAATCCTTTGTAAGCTTGACTTCCACTTGTCCCTACTCATCATATCTGAGTGACGAGAAAAAAAACTTATAATCCATAAAGTTATTATAGAAATACCTTGTAGTTCTTACTCGATCCAATATCGTTCCCTCAAGAATAACACATCTAAAGAATTTAGAGACACATGTCGACCAAAGTCAACTAATGCTCTTTGATGTAACAAATATGTTAAGAGGACTTCATCGAATTTGGTGGGTGCTTCATGTGGTTTAGTCATTCTTTGGATAAGAGGTTTGTTTTCTCCTAACTTTAGCTTAAGGGGTGGTGGCTTTGTGGGGATTAATATGGATTATAAAGGGATCATATATAACTTCATTAATGTGTATGCGTCATGTAATAGAAAGGATAAAAGAGTCATGTAGTTTGAATTGTTAAAGTGGAAGGATTTGCGTCCCTCAAAGGAATGATATTTAGGTGGAGATTTCAATTCTGTGTCTGATTTGGAGGAAAGGATTTGTTCTAGTTTTCTTAGTAGAAGTCGTGATATGGAGGATTTTAGGAGTTTTATTGATGATATGCAGCTTACTGATATTCCTTGTTTGGGTGTGAGGTTTACTTGGTTTAGTGGTTGTGGCAAGGTGATGAGCAGGCTGGACATATTTCTTCTGTCTGATAATTTGATTCCAATGTGGAATATTACGGCTCAATGGATAGGTTTCTGGGATATCTCAGATCATTGCCCTATTTGGATGAAATCCAGTAAGTTAGATTGGGGGTTAAAACTGTTTTGTTTTAACAATTTTTTGGTTCAAGAACGATGATTTTATCGGTTTTATCAAATTAGAGTGTGCCAAGATTGAATTGGTTGGGAGAGGAGATTATAGGCTTTGTGAGAAACTGATGAGGCTTAAAGAGAGGCTGAAATGGTGGAACAAAAATGTTTTTGGCTGGATTGATCTTGGAGTGGAAAATGATGTCAAAATGCTTTGGATCGTTCCTTCGTAGATAATTATGGAGGCTGCATTGATAAGCTGGTAGAAGACAAAATCAATTGTGTGGATTCTATGTGGAATTTGTTAAATCTTAAGGAGAGTATGCTTACACACAAATCGAGACAATTGTGGTTAAAAGAGGGGGATAACAACTCTCACATTTTTCATAATTAGTTAAAAGACCATTGTAGAAGGAATTTCGTTAATGTGGTGGATTCGAATGGGGCTTGCTTGGAGGAGGTGAAAGATGTCAAGCATACCGTTAAGAATCAATTTGAAGAGTTCTTTAAGGAATCGTGTGAATAAAAGCCTTTTCCAGACAGATTATGCTTTAAAAGGCTTTCTGATTTTGATAGCAGGCAACTCGAGATTGAGTCTTCAGAGAAGGAGATTAAGGCTGACATTTGGAATTGTATTGGCGATAAGTGTAACACCCCAAATTCTTGAAATATTTATTTAATTTATTTAAATATGAATATTCGTAATTTTGGTGATTTTCGGTGGTTGATGTGAATATTGGGAATTATGGAATTTTGAGTTATTTATTTAAATAATAGTATATAATATGAATATATTTTGTATTATTCTTAATTTAAATAAAATATAAGATAATTTAAGGGCAAAATGGACATTTGAGGAGAAGTTAGTGAGGGTGAAATTGGAAACCCATTTTAAGGCCGAATGTTAGGTTTAACAAAAAGAAATTTTAGGAGAATTATGATTCATTCTTGTTAGACCGTGAAAAGAGAAGAAATAGATGCCAGAGCTCTGAGGGAAGAGGATAGAGGCAAGACTTCGTGAGGTTTTTCAAGAACTAAAAGGAGAAAGACTTGGAATCGGCAAATTAAGGTATGAGGAGTATTGCCTTCATTGTTTTCAATATGTGGTTCAATGTATTTAATTCGAATTAAGGGTTTAGGAGTTTTGAGTAATGAATTGTTGTTGCCTTTCTGGTGAGGAGTTCAATGAGTTTGAGGTATTTGAACTGATGTTCTAATAGGTTTGACGTTGGTTTGAGAATAAGGGAAATTAGGCATTCGTGGCCAAAATCTGTTGAGATTGTTTAACCCTGTAGGGTAAGTGATTGTGAGAACATTAAAGACTGTGGGGTATTTGTAAGAATTTTTATGAAAATTGGAGGCGTAAGAAGGATACGGGATTTGAGGCGTAAGTAAAATTTTGGACTATTTTGCCTACTGTTGCGTAGTAGCGATTTGCTGTAATAGCGAATTCGCACAGCGAACGATTCTTCACACGACGAGCATTCACCCCATACTTGCACGGCGAACTTCCTAGCAAACATAACAGTGTTTTGCGAATTGTGTTCTGTTTCAATGTTGTCTTGATGTTTTGATGCTGTGATTTTCCTAATGAATTACCGTGAGTATAATTGTGATTTTTATGAGATTAATACATGACTGTATGATGAGTTCCCATGAGTTATTGTGATGATTTATGATGTTGATTTCATGAGGTTTTGATGATTTTATGATGACATGATTCTTATGATGATTTTGATGAATGATGATGCACCTAATAATTTTATTATGATGATGATAGTGACGTGTGCATCATGCATTCATAAGCATTCCGGACTTCGGTCCTGTGGGTTTTTGTGGCTTCAGTCACATTGTGCGGATGTGAGGTATTTGATATGCTCCGGTTCTTGTGTAGAATCGATCCTATTGATGGGGATCTTTGGAGGGTGATGGCCTAAGCGTCCATCGAATTTTGATGAATTGGTACCACATGCATGAGTCTTATTTCATTTGCACTTGTATGACAATTTGGTGTAATTTATAATGTTGTGACTTTTGATGTTTTCTTGATGATTTTGATGATGTTGAATATGAAAATGACGCCATTTTATATATTGACTTTTATATTGATTATAATGAATCGTTTTACTCACCCTGCCTGTTTGAATGTTACCTCCACGGGGGTAACGTGCAGACGGCCATGTTTAGTCGCGAATGCCGTCGAGATTTTTTTTTGGAGTTTTTGACTTTTGGTTGACTTAGAGGGTCTTGCTCTGATAGTGTAATATCGGGTTAGGGTCCTTGAGTTAAACTATGTTTTATTGAATTTTTTTTTATGTTGAATTATTGTTGCGGTAAAAAGAAAACTTTGGATTTTTCCTTTTGATTTTCGCTGCCATTTGAGCACTTTTGAGTAATTTTGAGAAAACCGTTGTTTACAGAGCATTAACTTTAATTTGAATTTATTGAAAAATATACACCCTTTGAGGTGATTTTATAGTGTTTAAAATTTTACTCTAATAAATTTGACTATTTGTCATGGTATTCGTGGGGTAGGATGGGTGTTACTGTAACACCCCAAATTCTTGGAATATTTATTTAAATATGAATATTCGTATTTTTGGTGACTTTCAGTTGTTGATGTGAATATTAAGAATTATGGATTTTGAGTTATTTATTTAAATAATAGTATATAATATGAATACATTGGTATTATTATTAATTTAAATAAATATAAGTGAATTGAGGGTAAAGTGAACTTTTGAGGATTGGAAAGCTCATTTTAAGGCCCAATGTTAGGTTTAACAAAAAGGAATTTTGAGGGAATTAGGATTCATTCATGTTAGTCCGTGAAAAGAGAAAAAATAGAGGGCATAGCTCTGAGGAAGAGGATTGAGGTAAAAGCTTTGCGAGGTTTTCAAGAATCAAGGAGAAAGGCTTAGAGTCGGCAAATTAAGGTATGGGGAGTATTGCCTTCATTGTTTTCAAGATGTGATTCAATGTGTTTAAAGTCGATTTAAGGGTTTAGGGATTTTTAAGTATTGAATTGTTGTTTCCTTTCTAATGGCGAGTTCAATAAGTTTGAGGGATTTGAACTAATGGTCAATGGGTTCGAGGTTGATTTGAGAGTAAGGAAAATTAGGCCTTCGTGACCAAATCCGTTGTTGAAGTTTTAACCGTGTAGGGTAAGGGATTATGAAAACTATGTGAATGTGGGAAAATTGTAAGGATTTATGGGGATTGAAGGCGTAAATATGATACGGGATTGGCCTAATAAGTCGTAGATTTTGTGTCTTTATCGCCGTAATACCTTAGGAATGATTTAGGGATGTTTTTGGGGAATTGGGGAAGGAAATCGTAGGGAAGGAAATCGTAGGGACTTTTGGGCTGGTTTTGGTGCTGGTGCATAACCGCGTTTTGCTGTAATCGCGAGTTCGCACAACGAACACTCGCCCCAGACTCGCACGGCAAACTGTCCATTGAACGTAGAGTTTTGCGAATTGTGTTCTTGTGCAGTGTTGTTTTGATGCTGTGATTTTCTTGATGAATTACCTTGAGTATGACTGTGATTCATATGTGATTAATTCATGATTGTATGATGATTCCTATGAGTAATGATGGTGAGTTATGATGTTGATTCCATGAGTTTTGATGATTTTGATGAATGATGATGCACCTAATGAGTTTATTATGAGGATGATATTGACGTGTGCATCATGCATTTATATGCATTCCAGACTTCGGTCTAGTGTTTTATTCTTGTGGCTTCAGTCCCATTATGCGGATGTGAAGTATTTTGTTGTGCTTCTATTCTTATGTAGAATCGATCCTATTGATGAGAGTCTATGGAGAGTTGATGGCCAAGTATCCATCAAATTTTGATGAATTGGTACCACCTGCATGAGTCTTGTTGCATTTGCATTTATGTCACAATTTGGTGTAATTTATGATATTATGGATTTTTTTATGTTTCCTTGATGATTATGATGATGTTGAATATGAAAATGACGTTATTTTATATATTGATTCCTATATTGATTATTATGAATCGTTTTACTCACCCTGCATGTTTGAATGTTGCCTCCACGTGGATAACGTGCAAATGACCAGGTTTAGTCGTGGATGTTGTTGAGGACTCTTTGGAGTTTTTGGCATTTTGATTGATTTAGAGGGTCTTACTCTGATAGTGTAACATCGGGTTGAGGTCTTTGATTATTTTGTTGCGCAAGGAAAATTTTGAATTTTTCCTTTTTGAGTTTCGCCGCCTTTTGAGCAATTTTTGAGTAATTTTGGGAAAACTCGTTGCTTATGAAGCATTAACTTTTATTTGAGTTATTGAGAAATGTACGCCCTTTGAGATGATTTTTATTGTGTTTAATATTTTATTTTGATAAGTGTGATTGATTTTCCATTATATTTATGATATAGAAAAGGGTGTTACAGTTACAATAAGTGTGCGGGGCCGGATGGACATAAATTCAATTTTTTTTTTTAAGTTGTACTGGGATTTTTTTAAGGAAAATGTTGTTCTATTTGTAAGATATTTTCACAGCAATCCAAAGCTTACTAAGGCAAAACTTACTAAGGCATGTACTCTAATTCCTAAGATTCAAAATCCGCAAAGTTTGTCTGAAAATACACCCATATGTCTTGTTGGCTATTTATACAAGTTATAAGCGATGTTGCTTGCAATGAGGTTGCGAGTTATTATTGGAAATATCATTTCTAAAAAGTAGATTGCGTTTATTCAGGGAAGAAATATTCTGGACGAGGTTCTTATGGGGAATGAAGTTATTGGTCTAGCAAGAAGAGAGAATAGAAGTTGCATGGTTTTGATGGTTGATTACGAAAATGCATACGATAGTGTGAGTTGGAACTATCTCAGAATAGAAGTTCTTATGGGGAATGAAGTTATTGGTCTATCAAGAAGAGAGAATAGAAGTTGCATGGTTTTGATGGTTGATTACGAAAATGCATATGATAGTGTGAGTTGGAACTATCTCAGAATAGAAGTTCTTATGGGGAATGAAGTTATTGGTCTAGCAAGAAGAGAGAATAAAAGTTGCATGGTTTTGATGGTTGATTACGAAAATGCATACAATAGTGTGAGTTGGAACTATCTCAGAATAGAAGTTCTTATGGGGAATGAAGTTATTAGTCTAGCAAGAAGAGAGAATAGAAGTTGCATGGTTTTGATGGTTGATTACGAAAATGCATACGATAGTGTGAGTTGGAACTATCTCAGAATAGAAGT